TCTGTGTGTAAAAGGGTCTGTATGTAAAAGTGTCTGTGTGTAAAAGCATCTGTGTAAAAGCGTATGTTTGTAAAAGTTAGCTAGGTTCAAGATAGGTGGTAGAGGCCTTCAGTAAGATCCAAACATGTCTGGTACGTACGGCTGGTAGGTTTGGTTTTCTTGGTACGGTACGGTTGGTACATGTGGTACGGTACGGTTGGTACGGTTGGTACGGTTGGTACGCTTAGTAAGGTACGTTTGGTACGCATACCGACCGCACCGACCGTACCAGTGAACCGTACATAACCGTACCACCGTACCGTACCAGATTAAGGGGGGGGTCAAGGGGGGGGCGTTTTTTATGTACGGTTCACTGGTACGGTCGGTACGGTCGGTACGGTTGGTAAGCGTACCAAACGTACTTTACTAAGCGTACCAAGCGTACCTACCCAAAGCGTACCAAGCGTACCAAGCGCACCAAGCGTAGCGTACCTATCTTATAACTGGATATCAAGCACCTATCTTGAACTTAGATAATGTAAAAGCTTCTGTATGTAAAAGCTTCTGCGGGTAAAAGGATTGTGTGTCAAAGTGTCAGTGTAAAAGCCTCTGTGTGTAAAAGCTTCTGTATGTAAAAGCGTATGTGTGTAAAAGCGTCTGTGTGTAAAGTTGTTTGTGTGTAAAAGCCTCTGTGTGTAAAAGCTTCTGTGCGTAAAGCTTCTGTGTGTAAAAGCTTTTGTGTGCAAAAGCATCTGCGTGTAAAAGCGTCTGTGTGTAAAAGTGTCTGTGTGTAAAATGGTCTGTGTGTAAAAGTGTCTGTGTGTAAAAGCGTCTGTGTGTAAAAGGGTCTGTGTGTAAAAGCTTCTGTGGGTAAAAGTGTCTGTGTGTAAAAGTGTCTGTGTGTAGAAGCGTCTGTATCTAAAATGTCATAAGTATATTCACTAGTGTGTCAAATGTCAGCACACATGTGACAATACTTCACTATTGGAATGTCTGCAAACGTTTGCACAAAACTTGACGACGGATGGCCCGAGAGCGTAGAGGAGCAGGGTCTTCTCTTGTTAGTATTGAGACACCATATTAGAAACAATATATTAAAGATGTGTTATATGCAGTCGAGAAGAGGAGTATTAAGACAAAATAGCAGAAGTGCAAGACAATAGTTTGCATCGCAAACACTTTTACACACAAAAGCTTTTACACACAGACGCTTTTACATACAGACCCTTTTACGCACAGACACTTTTACACACAAAGCTTTTACCCACAGAAGCTTTTACATACAGAAGCTTTTACACACATACGCTTTCACACAGAGGCTTTTACACACAGACACTTTTACACTGACACTTTGACACACAATCCTTTTACCCGCAGAAGCTTTTACACACAGAAGCTTTTACAAACATACGCTTTTACACAGATGCTTTTACACACAGACACTTTTACACACAGACACTTTTACAATCACCCACCCCTAAAAATGTAATTTTAGGGGGGGGAGAGGTCAGGTAAAAAAAATACATTTACCGTTCTCCAAGAATTTGATTCCCCAGGACCCCCCCTAAATACATTATTTGACCGGTGGGTGTACGTTAAATGTAGGATCCATGGGTCGGGATATCCAACCCCCCCCCAGGATCTTTTATTTTGGGGGGGTGGTTTAATATATTTTACGGGTTTGGTTTTTCCAGGATCCCCGGGAATGTTTAATTTTTTTCTGGGGAATACCCTTCTTTGAAAAATGTATTCTAAGGGGGTTGGGTTGCCGAAAAGCACATCATTTTTGGAAAATGGAGGGAATAGATCTGGCTAAGGTAGTCATTGGTACCCCCTGCAATGCATACATTTCAGAAAATAGTGTCATGTCTTCGGAGTGGGAGCGATGCGTCCTTGATCGTGCTTGCATATGTTTGCATGCGTTTGTTTCCAAAAAAAATCCAAAAGCGTAAGCTAACGGGGTCTTCAGCGCAGAATATTTTCGGTGACCCCAGGTATTCCCAGGTTTCCCCATAAGTTTCAGTAGGTTTCCCAGGAAAAAAAATCAATTGGATTGAGGTGCAGACCGCCCCAAGCTTGCATACATTTAGAAAAGTTTATGTATCCATTGGCTCTTGTCAGTGGTGCCCCCCACAAAGCATACATTTTCAGGTTCAATACCCCTACCAATAATACATTTCCAGCATCTGGCACACATACATGCCTCATTTTGAGGGGTTACCCCCCCCCTAGTTCCCATACATTTTTGGCAAAAAGTGAGGGGGTTAACCCCCCCCTTATGTTCATACATTATCAGAAATGTAGGATCCACCCCCCCTACTCCTGAACCAGTTGGGGTCGGGGATCTTTTACACACAGACACTTTTAACAAAGAGCCTTTTACACACAGGAGCTTTTACACACAGAAGCATTTACACGCAGACGCCTTTACACACAAAAACTTTTACACATAGTCACACAGAACATAGTCACACAGAAGCTTTTACACATAGACGCTTTGACACACAGGCACTTTTACACACAAACACTTGTACATACAAACACTTTTACACACAAACACTTTTACACATAGACGCTTTTACACACAAAAGCTTTTACACGCAGACGCTTTTACACACAGAAGCTTTGACACACAAACGCTTTTACACACAAACGGTTTTACACACAAGCGCTTTTACACACAATCACTTTTACATACAGACGCTTTTACACACAGGCCGGCCCATGTTCACGCAGTCACAGTGAAGTCATTGTTGTCGTGGCCACCTCAGCAATTCGACGGAGGGGTGAAGTTCGTACCATGTATTTGGTGGACATGCATTCAATATAGTACAGTCTATAGAAGTATTGCTCAGACAGCTCTGGTTGCAATACAAGAATCAAAGTTAAAAATCAAATAACTAAGCTGCTCACAAAGGTGTTGAGTCAGGCAAAGAACCGACCTGGCCCCCCGCCAGGGTGGGGGAACCATCCTATCCCCTCAAAGTATTATAGGAGCAGGCCACAATTATATACGCATTATCAAAGTCTGAAGCTAAGGCCTAAGGCTATTAATGAGGACTCGATGATATGCATCTCGTCACAATACGTGACCAAGTGTGTAATGTCATGGCGAGCCTAACTAAAACTTTTTTGTCCGTCCCGATATTGTCCTGCAAAACCTTGAAGCGATCACTGCTCGCAGACTATCACAGCTGTTGCATGCCATTCAGCATGGTCGGGTCCACTGGCACTGTGCTGCAAAACGATAAGTCCGCGCCGTGCAAGCGCGCCGTGCCAGCGAGAAGTAAGTCTGGGTCGCCTCCTCGAAGTCGCTCAGCTGGAAGTAGTGGTTCGTATGTTGTCGGATCGCATCCAGGAATTGGTCATTCAGCCATGCGAATGTTCGGAAGCTGGCACTGTGTCCTCACCGCATCGATGAGGAACTCTCCCTGGTCAAGGCTCGCCAATGGATCTCTTAGTCCAAGGCCCAAAGCTTCTAGACTCCTTGCTCACCCTTTTCTTCACACATCTGTGATGACTTTGGTGATCGCCGTGATGCTCTTCTCCAGGAAATAGCTAGTTACTTGCTTCTTCAAAATGACCTCGTCAACCATCAATTTGAAACCACTCGATCAACACCAAAAAAGGTCAATGAACCATCTCAAAGGGGATGCACTTTTACACACAAACACTTTTACACACAAACATCTTTACACAGAAACACTCGTACACACAAACCCATTTACACACAAACATTCTTACACACAGAAGGTTTTACACACAAACACTTTTACACAGATGCTCCGGCGGGACAAGTAAAATCGCAATTTTACCTCAGTTTTTGACGATCGACACTCATTTCGTGCGAAAAGGTTGCTCCGGGACAAGTAAAATCGCAATTTTACTCAGTTTTCGCCGATCGAACCTCATTTCGTGAAGCAAAATCGCAATTTTACCTCAGTTTTTGACGATCGACACTCATTTCGTGTGAAAAGGTTGCTCCGGGACAAGTAAAATCGCAATTTTACCTGTTTTCGCCGATCAACACTCATTTCGTGCGAAAGGGTTGCTCCGGGACAAGTAAAATCGCAATTTTACTCAGTTTTCGCCGATCGAACCTCATTTCGTGAAGCAAAATCGCAATTTTACCTCAGTTTTTGACGATCGACCCTCATTTCGTGCGAAAGGGTTGCTCCGGGACAAGTAAAATCGCAATTTTACCTCAGTTTTTGCCGATCGACCCTCATTTCGTGCGAAAGGGTTCACGTTTCGTGACTCCCCGCCGGCACCACCCTCGGCCTAAAGAGAGAAAGATAAAGAAGGCGAGAGAGAGAAAAGGGAGAGAGAAAGGAGAGAGAGAAAGGAGAGAGGAAAGAGGAGAGAGAGTGAGAGAGAGAGAAGATGTGAAGATGAGCAGATGTGAAGATGAGAAGATGTGAAGATGAGAAGGTGTGAAGATGAGAAGATGTGAAGATGAGAAGATGTGAAGATGAGCAGATGTGAAGATGAGAAGATGTGAAGATGAGAAGATGTGAGAGAAGGTGTGAAGATGAGAAGGTGTGAAGATGAGAAGATGAGATACAGACCCCCGCTCTCGGGAACTAAATCGGTACAAGAAAAAGCGGCTGGTCTCCCACCATTCGTCACTTTTCACTTTCTAAATCAAGACTGACTGGGTGGACTTGCTCACGCTGATGTATTTCAATGCATACATGCAGTTCTCTGCATATACATGTATGCTGTATATGTATATGTATATACACCCATCGTATGTATGTATGTATGTATGGATGGATGGATGGATGGATGGATGGATGGATGGATGTCTGTCTGTATCTATCTATCTATCGATCTATCTATCTATAGGTAAAGATAACTATTTATATGCTCAGACACGGAGATGTTTGAACCTAGATGCAATCTGTGTTTCTTTCCTTTGGATCCGTAGAAATTGTCTACACAAGACAGTTGAAAGTTGGATGCAATGGTCGAAGGCGTGCAAACCAGGACACGCCCACATTTCATTGCTCGCCAAGCAGCGAAAATCAAAAGAAGCGGCTCATTCTCAAAGATGAAAGGCAAGGCGCTGATTGCAGAAGCAATAAACCTCAGATACCAAAAGAGATAGCAAACACAACCACCCTCCCTGTTATTCCCTCAAGCCAGGCCAGAGAGGATGGAGAGAAAGCGAGAGAGGATCTGTTTCAGCCATGGAACTGCGAATAAAGCAGTTGTTGACGCTGTCGGAGTGGCAGTTGTGCAAAGGGTTTCTCCTTCCTGGCAAGCTCAGCTCAAACGCGCATATACATCTTGCGAGGCTTTTGATGGTACAGGCCCCATTCATCAATAGAAATAGAATTACACCTACACGCTCGCACACTGACGCCCACACCCAACAACACACACACACACGCACACATTTGCTCAGAACTGTCATTGCGAATTCTGTTGTGGAATGCATCTTACGTGCAAAAACACTCCAGTTACACCTGACAGGAATGGGTCGGTGAAGAGACCCGAAAAAGTATCAGGAGGCTACCATCGCCATAGCCAGTGTAGTGGAAGTCAAAAATTGTTTTGAAAAGATTGTTGAAATAAGTCCCAGGTTGCGGCAACGTACGTATCGTTCGTCAAAAAATGACAATGAAGTGAAATTGCAAACTGTTCGGCGAGGTGGTTCTTGGGTTGGCCACGTCCCATGTCTAGACAGTAAGATTCTTTGCAGGCACGTCGGGATGATCAGTCCCAATATCCTCCCAACTCATGAGTAGCTTCATTGGCAGTGGACTCATGAGGTGGCCACTGCCCCCTGCTGAAATCAGAAAGCTGAAAAAGAAGAAGCGGTAGTGGTTTTACTTCTGATCAGAAGTTCCACACACCACACCCTGCCGCAGCAGGGTCTTTTTGGAAGACCACAAGGTGGTAGTCCTGATGCCCTATGTGGGTGGAGAGGTTGGATCCGCAGGCAGTGACTGGAAAGTTGGAGGATATGAATGATGATTGAGGTGATTGCTAAGTGGCAAGCTGCTGAGGAAGCATGGAAGACTGATGTCGAAGGGACTGAAACCAGCGACGTGACAGAGTGCAGGAAGCCCCCGACCGAAATTCACAGTCACCCAAAGGTGCCGTGCAGAGAACGAGTAGCTCGGCAAGGGGCATCCATGTGGCGCGGCAGAGGCGAAGAGGAGAATGGCGGCCAAGGAACATGATGGGCGGTAAATGCCCTTTGTGGATGGAGAAGTTGGATCCGCGGGCAGTGGCTAGAAAGTTAGACGAAATGGATGACATGCATGAGGTGCTTGCAAAATGGAAAAGAGATAAGCAAGCAAGGAAAACTGATGTTGAGTGCAGGACAGCCACTTGAAATCCCCGACCGAAAATCACAGTCACCCTAAGGTGCCGCGCTGAGAACGTACAGCTCGGCAAGGGGTATTCATGTGGCACGGCGGCACGGCGGTGGCAAGGAGGAGAATGGCGACCAAGGAAAATTGATGGGCGGCACAGGTGGGAGCTGCCACGAGAACGGAAACATGGCAGAACCAGAAATGTCAGGATGGAAAGCTGGTCAACAGTTCACACAAATGTGATGCATCCACAAGACTTTGCAAGAGTCGTGATAAGGCTCGAGGCCCTCCAAGTTCAAGTCAAAACTCTCTGGACGGGTCACCCTGCGAATTAGGTGCACACTTGAACCTCACCAATCACCAAAGAAGAAAGAGTCACCACACCTGGAAAGATGGCCTAGCACCTCAATGTCAAAACAAAAAATGGTGAATATGCAGACAGCGGGTAGCTGTTCAGCATCTCGACGATCGACAGGTGAGACAATGAAAAAAAGGCCATCTGTTTCACTTTACTTAGACGAATTACTAGGTTGAAAAGTGTACATGCAGATTCAAAACGAGAAATGGTGAGCCCCGAGACAGCGGGCAGCTGTTCAACATCACGACGAGCGACAGGTGAAACGATGAAAAAGGCCATCTGCTTCGCTTTACCTAAACGAATTAGTGAAAATTCAGAGATCATGTCGGAGGATCAAACATCCTACCTAGACAGGTATTCCCCGAGGGGCTCACGGCATCTTATCGAACCGACGTGAGTAACACACTTGCTCAGAACTGTCATTGCGAATTCTGTTGTGGAATGCATCTTACGTGCAAAAACATTCCAGGTACACCTGACAGGAATGGGTCGGTGAAGAGGCCCGAAAAAGTATCAGGAGGCTACCATCGCCATAGCCAGTGTAGTGGAAGTCAAAAATTGTTTTGAAAAGATTGTTGAAATAAGTCCCAGGTTGCGGCAACGTACGTATCGTTCGTCAAAAAATGACAATGAAGTGAAATTGCAAACTGTTCGGCGAGGTGGTTCTTGGGTTGGCCACGTCCCATGTCCAGACAGTAAGATTCTTTGCAGGCACGTCGGGATGATCAGTCCCAATATTCTCCCAACTCATGAGTAGCTTCACTGGCAGTGGACTCATGAGTGGGCCACTGCCCCCTGCAAATCATAATGACAAGATCTAGACAAATCAGAAAATCACATCGTTAGAAGTTTTACATCTCTTCAGATGGTTCACACACACACACACTTGCTCAGACTTGTCTTATCGACTTGTGATGCGGAATGCATCGGACGTGCCAAACACACTCCATAAAATCCTGATCAGAGAAGAAATTGGAGTTGGGAGCTGACCCTTCCCTTTCGAGTTCCAAATAGATGCCAAATAAGCTGTCGGAGTTACCATCGCCATAGCCAGTGTAAGTTGCCATAGCCCAAGCGAAGGTTGATTTCAGATGTCGGAAAATAAATTGGACATGAAGTTTACCGCAGTCTCAGATTGCGCCACCTGTGCAAGAATGAAAAAAGAGTTTGAAACCTCTGTGAATTGTTTGTTGAAAAACGGCGAGGTGGTTCTTGGGTTAGCCACTGCCCACCCCAGAAATTTGACATGAAAATTGAAGCAAGTACGTCGATCCAGCGTCCTGGATCGATATCACAGAAATGTCATAGCCGCCTTCGTTGGCTGCAGAACTATGACATTCCCTGCAGCCCCCTGCAACTAAGAAAAATCAAGGTACAAGTTTTACATCTATTGAGATGTTTCTCTCTCTCTCTCTCACACACACACACCCACACGCTCACTCACTCACACTCACTCACACATGCACACACATTGGCATACACATGCGCGCACACACACACACATACAACAACAAATCCAGAACTGTATCACCAAATATCGGCGATATCACAGATCGTTATCAATAGGGTATGAAGAATGCGCTGATTTTCTGTGGTAAATCAGGGTTCCGCAACTTCAGGATCCCACCGCCTGGAGGAGCTTGGCTCAGAATCGTCATCAAGGACCTGCCAAATACCAAACTACTTGTGACAGTCCAGTTGAAGATACTCGAATTGTAGGATAACACTGACCAACTACAGTGGTTGACCCTATTTACTTTAGAATCTTTAGAGACACTTGTATGAGTTTGAACCGTATGTGACAGGGCGGATTTCTTATGATAATGAGTTGTCCAAGTCTTCACACTGCAACATACAGGCGTCCAATATCGTGGATAAGATTTCTTGTTGCAAATCTTGCGTTAAAAAACAGAGCATCAATCAAACGGTTCCAAAGAACAAAGGAGATCGCCTAATGTCAATGTCGCGCCCACAGACTGCATCAGCAGGCAATATGGTTTTTCTAGAGTCATGTTGTCAACACAGCTTCCTGCACAACTGAAGCCTTTGGGTATGCTCGGCTCCCTTCATGAAGGGCTGAATTAGGTAAGTACGGTAAGAATTTTGCTGGTTGGAATACGTCACTGAAAAGAAGCCAGTTTAAACTTGGCCCCCGGCTCCCAAAGCCGCAAGCTCTGCAAATCGGTCCTAGCTGCCCAGGCAACTCTCTGAGCGAAGGAAAACAGCTTCGAACAAGAGCTGTTTGGACTTGTCACAAACAATCGTTGCACATTTTTTAAATGCCGAATGTCAACTGAGAGGCTTCCAACCGCACTAAAACTGAATATAGAACAATCAGCTTGTCCTCAAATTGGCCGCTGGGTAGTCTCTGCAGCTGTTGTAGTGCCTTCCGGAGAAACCCATCTCGCAAAGCTTTCCTCGGGAGCTCTGGTGAATCTAGTGAAGCTCGGCGTCTTGTTCCCATGCAACGCTTACACTAGTTACTAGAAGAAGAGGCCTCCAATGCATATGCCATATGCCGTTGGTCGCAAAGATGCCTAGTGTGGTGTAGTACAGTTATCTTCGTGAAGGGCTGTGGCAAGCGCTGCTCTGTTGGCAGTCCAAGTTGAAACATGGTAAGCACACAAACAAACCACAACATAGATGCAAGTGCAAAGATATACACAATATATGCATATCATCTTCATATATATAAATATATACAATTACATACATATGTATATAGTACATACATACATTACATTACATTACATTACATTACATGACATTACATTACATTGCATTGCATTACATTGCATTACATTACATTATATTACAACGCAATACAATGCAATAAACTACAATACAATACAAAACATACATTACATACATCCATACATCCATCCATCCATCCATCCATGCATGCATCCATGCACCCTTGCATCCATGCATCCATGCATGCATGCATGCATGCAAGCATACATACATCACCATACATACATCACCATACATCACCATACATCACCATACATCACCATACATCGCCATGCATCACCATTACATCACCATTACATCATCATTACATCACCATTACATCACCATTACATCACCATTACATCACCATTACATCACCATTACATCACCATTACATTACATTACAATACATTACATTACGTACATACATACACATTCAATCACATTAATGTTACATTGCATTGCATTGTATTGGATTTTGACATGACAGTACATTCAATGTGTTGCAGTACTTTTCTGCATTACAATACCAAGCAATGTATGAAAGTATATTCATATCTAAAGAACATGCCCATGAACAAAGCTGGAAATAAACTGGTGAAGAGATCAAATAGATCAATGCGACAGTGCATATGCAAAGGAAACGAACAAAGGCATGAAGCACATAAAGACGCAAGGTTGGGCGTCAACAACCACAGCATCCAGGAACAAACTACAACTACATACAACTACATACAATTCCCATCGATTCGGTGCAATTACCAGTCACGCAGCAGCCACACAGCAGTTGTGCAGAAGTCGTGCACATCACTACCATATAACTCATTTAACATACTGTCTCCAGCTGCATCCACTCTGCATCCACTCTGCACTCTGCCTCCCAAGCCTGGTCCCTCAATTCTCAGTGTCCTTTGCACGTTTCGGCGTCTCTTGTCATATCTCCCCCCAAACTGAGGGATGTGCTGCTTTCGGAAACGTTCAGCATACACGTCGCCAAGGCCAGCTAGTTGTTGACTGCTGAGTGCCTGCACGAGGTCCAAAAAGACCAACATAGCTGGGTACTTTGCAAGTTCTGAGCAACATGTGTCTCTAAGCTCTCCGTCATGCTAGCACTGAGGCTTGACAACGTTTGCACTTGGTTGGCTACAAAGCAAGCATGGATTGCATGATCAATTCCAAAAAATATTACTCCAGGACATCTCAAGTAAAAATTGAAAAATGATCCACGGGCTGAACATGCTGAGTTGTCTTTTGGGCAGCACTTGAGAAATGGAATCGTGTATGTACTGCATCACAATCGACGCAGCATTTCGAGTCTCCGTGGCCTCGCCCAAGTGCACTGTACCAGAGAGCAATGCCAAGAAGGCCTCACGGAAGGCCTCGTCCAGGCGGTTCAAGAGCCTCACGAGTGTTGCTGTCTTATGGCAAGCAGCTTGACAGGCGTTGCAGCCACTCGTTTCTGGAGTGCCACTCGATCTCTTTCAAACATGTTTGTAGTTGGATGTAGTTGGTCGAGTCAAATTATGGTGATAATTGGCGGATACTTTGGGACTCCGGGCAACCCTGTCCACACACTTTCTTTAGCAAGTACAAGTCCCAGAACCTGATCACCAGACCCACCTTCTCAGGGTGCAGGAGCAGCTTCATGGCACAACACTTTGGCCTAGAGTCCTCCTAGAATCCTAGAATCTATATACTCTTTGTGAAAGCATAAAGAGGTAGGTACCCCCTTGAGATCAGGTCCACAGGAACAACTAGATATGAAGAATATAGACTTTTTCGACCATGTCAAAGTATTTTGCATGGAACAATCACTGAAGTGTCTCCTTTGTCACGTTCACATCAAGCCTAAAGTCTTCGCCAAGGAACAAATTCGGTCTGAGCTCCAACATTTCTTTCAGCATCGATGTTGCGGGCTCAGAAAGTCTCATGTCGCTGGTAAAAGCGAGAGCGAAGACCTTGGGCAGGACAACCATAGGATTTACCAAGCCCTGTTGGTGTAGATGCCGAACAACAGACAAAGCTTCCACACGAACTCGTAGCACTCCTTCAGAACCATTTTCTTCCTCTTCGCGTTCACTTCGTTCATTTCGCTTTCGAGATTTCTTCATTCTTGGACCGACACTTCCTGCGAGCGTGATATGTGCTAGGACCTGGTCAGAGAAAGCCGCCAAAGGTTGAGCAGCCTCGATGGCCGAGTTGTGCTGTCGTCCGGAAGCTCCGGCAGTTCCAGATCCATTTCCCGTCTGACCCGCCACACGGCCATCACGAGAATCAGCGAAATCTGTGGCAGTTGCCTTCGATTCACGCTCTGCCTCGCTACGGAAATAACTCAGAAGAGCCGAGAGCGTCTCCAGAGCCTTACGGCAAAGAAGCAGATCTCCAGAGCTCAATGCACTGGAAAGCAGATCGTTGATGCGTCGGTCCTCACAGAGCCAGCTGCTTCATGCAAGTCAACACAAGGCGACACAAGGCAACAGAAGGCGACACAAAGGAGTTCGGGGTAACGTCCACAAACCCTTTTAAAGCCTTTGTTGAAGCTTGGCTGAATGTCCTTTGTGAAAGTTCGCTGACCCTTCAAGAAGAAGCCCATACAGGATGCAGCCACTGCGCGCAACTGCGGTTCCCCAATTTCATTGAGCCTTTGCACAAAGATCGACAGAGGCCAAAGATTGGCGAAAGACTGTCACGTGTAAATTTGTTTCTTGTCTCAACCTTTGTGTGTCAGATTGTCTTAAAGAGAAGACTGTATTGCACAGCCAGTGAGACAAGAGGAAGAAACAACTAGACGACGGATGGCCCGAGAGCGTAGAGGAGCAGAGTCTTCTGTTGTTAGTATGGAGACACTATATTACCAGTAGTACCGCACAAGGCGGTGGCGGAAGTTTCAAAAATAGGAAACCTATAGGAGAGGTTGGTTGTCGTGAATCAAGGATGGCAGAGCGAAGCCACTGATGGATTGAAAGGTGCTTGATCTCTCTCACTCTTTCTCTCTCTCTTTCTCTGCCTATCTACCTACCTACCTATCTATTTTCTATGTATCTATCCAGCGGTCGATCTATCTATCTATCTCTCTCTCTCTCTTTCATCTGTCTATCTGTCTAGCTGTCTACCTGTCTATCTGTCTAGCTGTCTACCTGTCTATCCGTCTAGCTGTCTACCTGTCTACCTGTCTACCTATCTATCTATCTATCTATCTGTTTGTCTGTCTGTCTATCTGTCTACCTATCTATCTATGGTGCAGTGTCATCCAGTCTAATGTAGTGTAGTGTACTGTAGTGTAATGTAGTGGAGTGTACTGTAGTGTAGTGTAGTGGAGTGTAGTGGAATGTAGTGTAGTGCAGTGTAATGTAGTGTAGTGTAGTGTAATTTAGCGTAGTGTAAATTAGTGTAGTGGAGTGTAGTGGAGCGCAGTTGTAGTTGTAGTTGTAGTGTAGTTGAGTGTAGTGTAGTGTAATGTAGTGAAGTGTAGTGGAAGGTAGTGTAGTGTAGTAGTGTAGTGTAATGTAGTGTAGTGGAGTGTAGTGTAGTGTCATGAACTGTAGTGTAGTGTAATTTAGTGTAGTGGAGTGTAGTGGAATGTAGTTGGGTAGTTGTAGTGTAGTGTAGTGGGATGTAGTGTAGTGGTGTGTAGTGGAGTGTTGTGGAGTGTAGTGGAGTGTAGTTGTGTAGGTGTAGTTGTAGTGTTGTGGAGTGTAGTGTAGTGGGAGTAGTGTAGTCTAGTGTAATGTAGTGGAGTGGAGTCTAGTGTAATGTAATGTAGTGTAGTGTAATTGAGTGTAATTGAATGCAGTGTAGTGTAGTGTAGTGGAATGTAGTTGTGTAGTTGCAGTTGTAGTTCTAGTGTAGTGGAGTGTAGTGTAGTGTAATGTAGTGAAGTGTAGAGGAAGGTAGTGTAATGTAGTGCAGTGGTGTCTATCTGCCTACCTATCTATCTATCTATCTGTCTATCTATCTGTCTATCTATCTATCTATCTAATTATCTCTCTATTTATCTATATAAACATCCGAACCTCCAAAAGTGGCGCGAACATGTGGTGTTTTGTACATTTTGACTTGGAAATGTGCTTCGCGCCACAGCGGCGCGCACTTTTTCAACATCCGAACCTCCAAAAGTGGCGCGAACATGTGGTGTTTTGTACATTTTGACTTGGAAATGTGCTTCGCGCCACAACGGCGTGCACTTTTTCGACATCTCAACTTCCAAAAGTGGTCCGAGAATGGTGTGTTTTGTACATTTTGACTTGGAAATGTGCTTCGCGCCACAACGGCGTGCACTTTTTCGACATCGCAACTTCCAAAAGTGGTCCGACCATGGTGTGTTTTGCACATTTTGACTTCAAAATGTGCTTCGCGCCACAACGGCGTGCACTTTTTCGACATCTCAACTTCCAAAAGTGGTCCGACAATGGTGTGCTTTGTACATTTTGACTTGGAAATGTGCTTCGCGCCACAACGGCGTGCACTTTTTCGACATCTCAACTTCCAAAAGTGGTCCGACAATGGTGTGTTTTGTACATTTTGACTTGGAAATGTGCTTCGCGCCACAACGGCGTGCACTTTTTCGACATCGCAACTTCCAAAAGTGGTCCGACACTGGTGTGCTTTGTACATTTTGACTTGGAAATGTGCTTCGCGCCACAACGGCGTGCACTTTTTCGACATCGCAACTTCCAAAAGTGGTCCGACAATGGTGTGCTTTGTACATTTTGACTTCGAAATGTGCTTCGCGCCACAACGGCGTGCAACTTTTCATCTCTCATCTGGCCAGCTGGCTCCGCACCCGACGCTTTAGCGAGCCTACTTTTCGACCCTCCGGAGCCCCAAATCATGGGAAAAACACAGTGTTTCGCGACTTTCCTACCTTTTCGCGCATCTCCATCTTCTTTCTTCTTACTCTTTCTCTTCTACTCTTCTTTCTTCTAATCTTTCTCTTCTCTCTGCCTCTTCCCTGCTCTGCTTTTCATCTGTCCATATTGTCGGAAGTTTGACTTCTAAACTTCCTTCGAAAAGACAATATATTAAAGATGTATTATAGGCAGACGAGAAGAGTAGTATCAAGACAATACATTACAAGTACAAGACAATAGTTTGCATTGTATCTTTCGTAAAGTTTTTCACACACAGAACTTTTTACAGACAGACGCTTTTACACACAGAGACTTTTACACACAGACCCTTTTACACACAGACGCATTTACACACAGACGCTTTTACACACAGAAGCTTTTACACACAGAGACTTTTACACGCAGACCCTTTTACACGCAGACCCTTTTACACACAGACGCTTTTACACACAGAGACTTTCACACACAGACGCTTTTACACACAGACGCTTTTACACACAGACGCTTTTACACACAGACGCTTTTATACACAAACACTTTTACACACAAACACTTTTACACACAGAGACTTTTACACACAGACGCTTTTACACACTGACGCTTTTACACACAGACGTTTTTACACACAGACCCTTTTACACACAGACGCTTTTACACACAGAAGCTTTTACACACGGACGCATTTACACACAAACACTTTTACACACCAACACTTTTACACACAGAGACTTTTACACACAGACGCTTTTACACACAGAGACTTTTACACACAGAAGCTTTTACACACAGAGACTTTTACACACAGAAGCTTTTACACACAGACGCTTTTACACACAGAGACTTTCACACACAGACGCTTTTACACACAGACCCTTTTACACACAGAAGCTTTTACACACAGAGACTTTTACACGCAGACCCTTTTACACGCAGACCCTTTTACACACAAACACTTTTACACACACACACACTTTTACACACAGAGACTTTTACACACAGACGCTTTTGCACACAGACCCTTTTACACACAGACGCTTTTACACACAAACGCTTTTACACACAAACACTTTTACACACAGACCCTTTTACACACAGACGCTTTTACACACAGACGCTTTTACAAACAGACGGTTTTACACACAGAAGCTTTTACACACAGAAGCTTTTACACACAGACGCTTTTACACACAGACGCTTTTACACACAGACATTTTTACACACAGACACTTTTACACACAGACACTTTTAACAAAGAGCCTTTTACACACAGACGCTTTTACACACAGAGACTTTTACACACAAACACTTTTACACACAAACACTTTGACACACAGAGACTTTTACACACAAACACTTTTACACACAAACACTTTGACACACAGAGACTTTTACACACAGACGCTTTTACACAAAGAAGCTTTTACACACAGAAGCTTTTACACACTTCGCCGGACAACTTGGAAATCGCAATTTTACCGTAGTTTTTGATGATCAAACCTCATTTCGTGCGAAAGGACAGGAATCGCATTTTTACCCCAGTTTTTGGCGATCGAACCTCATTTCGTGCGAAAGGGTTGCGATTGGACAACAGGAATCGTAATTTTACCTCAGTTTTTGACGACCGAACCTCATTTCGTGTGAAAGGGTTGCGATTGGACAACAGGAATCGCAATTTTATTTCAGTTTTTGACGATCGAACCTCATTTCGTGCGAAAGGGTTGCGATTGGACAACAGGAATCGCAATTTTACTTCAGTTTTTGACGACCGAACCTCATTTCGTGCGAAAGGGTTGCGATTGGACAACAGGAATCGCAATTCTATCTTTGTTTTTGACGATCGAACCTCATTTCGTGCGAAAAGAGTTGCGGTTGGACAACAGGAATCGCAATTCTATCTGTGATTTTGACGATCGAACCTCATTTCGTGCGAAAGAGTTGCGATTGGACAACATGAAATCGCAATTTTACCGCAGTTTTTGGCGATTGAACCTCATTTCGTGCGAAAGGGTTCGCCAGAAACACGAAATCGCAATTTAACCTCACAGTTTTTGGCGATCGAACCTCATTTCGTGCGAAAGGGTTGCGCCGGACAAGTTGAAATCGCAATTTTACCTCAGTTTTGGGCGATCGAACCTCATTTCGTGCGAAAGGGTTGCGTTTCGTGCCGTCTCGTTGGCACTGCCCCGCGCCTTCAAGAGAGAATAGAAAAGAAGGAGGGGGCAAGAGGGCAAGAGGAGAAGATGTGAAGATCTGAGGATGAGAAGATGTGAAGATGTGAGGATGAGAAGATGTGAGGATGAGCAGATGTGAAGATGTGAAGATGAGCAGATGTGAAGATGAGAAGATGTGAAGATGTGAAGATGTGAAGATGAGCAGGTGAGAAGATGAGAAGATGTGAAGATGTGAAGATGAGAAGATGTTTTACAGACCCCCACTATTGGAAGAACCCTGCGCTCAGACACTCTCGGGAATTATACCCTCTCCAATCATCTGGGTAATGTGCACGGTTTTCAAGATCTCTGTCACATTCTTTCACAACTTTCCATGTGCTTCGGTTCACAGTTGCAGTGACACCGCTGCAACAAAGCCCAACAGGGGAGCTAAGAATCACACTGGATTGAAGTGATTTGGATTCATCATGCACATTGTCAGTGCACTCTTTGCACGGCAGTTCCCACAGCTTCATCAATTTTGATCAGCTATGAATGTTTTCATGTGTGTTTTTAATCAGTTTCATCATGTTTCATCATGTTTCATCACGTTTCATCAGTCTCACGCGTTACGCACGGTGCGCCTGAGGAGGAGATCTGCCACGGTGCCTGCGACGGAGTCAGAGACCAAGTCGAACTTTAGCTCCGAGCGAGGCAGCAAGCGGCGCTTTGGCCTCAACCAACAGCGACCAACAGCGACCAACAGCGACCAACAGCGACCAACAGCGACCAACAGCGACCAACAGCGACCAAACGCACCAAAAGCTTCTGCAAGGTTTTTTCGAAAAAAATTGGCAAATCAGGAGCACTTAAAAGATCTAAAAGCAGATTAGCTGCTGTAGAGTAGCTTTGAATTAGCTTTGGAGTAGCTGATTAGCTGCTTTAGATTGTGCTTTGGATGGCTTTGGGATGCGGCCTTTAAGTGCTGCAATCCGATCATGTTTGCTCCAGCGCTCAGCTCCAAACTGCTCAGATGACTTGACTCCTTCCAATTGAACCTAACTGGCACGGCAGTCGGAGACCCTTCCATTCCCAACCGCATGGTCTTCATTGGTCCTCTAATCTAAAGAGTCTCGTTTGTCAGGATCAGTGTAAGAAGTCTATCTTCCTGCGTTACTTAGGTTCAACCGAGAAGATTGTGAGGCTCAGTCCATCTCCAATTGCTTTCAGAGTTTGGGCGACGTAGTGAGAGAGTGCTAGTTCTGCGCTCCAAGAGAACGTAGAAGCCACATCATCGAGAGAAGGAAATTTGTGAAAAATAAAGAGACCTAGAAAGAAGGATTAATGATCGAAACAGGAACGACTTTTACATGTGTCTCAAAGATTTGGCCCTTAATAAAGACAAACTAATTTCAACTAATTTCAACCTGAGCTTGAGGCATAGTCGTCCACAGACAAGCTCTCCAAGATCGATGCAAGAACCCAGGCTTGACGACTCATGTACCTGTTGGGTTCCAAGATCATTGACGCTTTCTCCAGTGAATCTTTAAAAAGCAACACATTTGACGCATATATGGCATACTTACATCAATAACTTTCCCTCGGGCAAAGTTGGCAAAGGTATATGTTGAAAGAAGTCATGATGCCAAACTCAATGACTTCTCGCAGTCTCAAGATCACGGATCAATGGCTTCAGCAGTCAGTTGGAACTTGACCCAAGACTGTCCATAAGACTAACAACAGTGAACGAGGACAGCTGGGGGCACATGATCTGAATCCTTTCTAAGGTTCCCTTCTGTTCAGAGATGCCACACAACTTGGTCAAGGATGGCCTCGGCACAAACATTCGGGACTGCGCAAGATGCGCAGAACCCTTCCTTTCAGACATTCCAAGGATGTGCTTGTCGCCCAGTTTTCAGAAACAACATGAAACAACAGTCAATCACATAATGACACCTGATACACTGTGATACACATGGTACGTTATTTGATGTGATCAATTGTCAAATCAATGGTGTTTTCCTCGAGTTGGCATCCCGGCACCGCCACGTTTAAATGCGTCACAATCTGAGCAAGGTCTCCAGTGACCTTGGGACGAGGGCTAGGCCCTGAGTGTGGGGCATCATTGGAAACGTCTGGAAACCATTGGACACTTTACACTCTTTGGACACTCCAATAAGAAACTTGAATACCCAGCAAAAACAAGAGCAAACCGTTCCTTTGATGAAACGCAATGATACCATCTGACCTTCTGGGAGTGCCATTTGTCTGGGACTGGCAGTTATGTGTTCATGACTTTGGCAAACAGCCGCCATGCACAACTTGGAATCCCCTGTCACAAGCCACAAGTGACAGCAAGCATGAGCACTTCACACTTCGCAAACTTGAACTTGAAACAGGGTCACTGCAGTAGCTAACTTGGCATCCTCTCTCTATATCTCTATCTTTATCGAAACAAATCTAATCCAATCTATAGGTTAAAATCTGATCTGCAACCTAAACTAAAATAATCTAACCTGATCCAATTTATATAATCTACTGTACCCTAATCTACTGTACCCTCATCTACTCTCTCTCTCTCTCTCCCTCTCTCTTGCTGCCTGCTGCCCTTTGAAGACCACATCATTTAATCAAACATAGTCATGCATCGCGCATAACCATCAGGCCACTTCAAGTTTCTACGCGTGTAACTGTCTGGCTATGGTGATTACAACCAAAGAATCCGCAAATTTACAAAAAGCAGCACACTCACTTCCTCGGTTCCCCCACATACTTCACAACCAGGCACAAACATCGCCTCAGAGCGCCGCAGCTTCAGTTCAACTTCGAGCTATAAAAAAGAGAGGCCCAGAATCAGGGAAAAGAGATGAAATGAGATGACCGCAACAGGCATACATAATTCCAATATTATAATAATGTGTAATATATCCAATAGCTCTGGTGCACCCAGTAAGCTCAGTCACGATGGTGATCTTGACACAGAAGCTGCTGCTTTGTGATTCACGCTGACTGCATTGTCACACCACGGTGTACAATTCTGGTTGAATATGATCACAAGCCATGCTTGCCATGCCTCGACACTTTGACGTTGCAAGCTTTGGACACCTATCGGATGACCTATCGCCTATCGCTGTATCGTGACACCTGAGAGACTCGACACAGCTTCATGAACGCCGCTGGATGGCTGACTTCGAATCAAAGCCTTTCAGCTGAGACTCACAGTGTGGAAGCTGTGTCTCGGTTTGAAATCTGTGCATTGAGAAAAATGGCAAAACATGATTTTAAAGGATGCAAAACATGGTTTCTCAGTCTTTTGCCTTGACCTCCTGCACTCGTCCAAAACATTCAAAAGCGCAGTTGCTGCAATGCAGAAGGTTGTTGAAAAAGGCCTTCTCATATCATCTCACTCAAGTCCCTCCAAGAGCCCTTCATGCCCCAGAAAATCCAAGTGCTGTGACTGGAAATAGAGAGAGGATGGACCAAGTACAAAAGATGTGAAGACGGGAGTACAGTGTACAGTTCCTACCTTTTGCGGAGAGGCGCTTGTCTGGTTTCACCATTATGCCGCCAAGAATAGAGCCTGTCGTATATTATAATTGATCCGGCAGTACCATGCCAGAATAATCGAGCATGTCTGACAGGATTGGAGGATCAGACCAGACGATACCAGAAAACAGGATGGACATAATGGGTGGGCAAATGACAGGGAAGGACATAACTATATAAACAGAACAAACAAATATAACAAAATCTAACAAATACTAACAATGAAACAATGTGACACAATGTGTGCACTTTTGCTCTGTCGCCTGCAAATCAGCTTGAACCTGGCGATGATCCATGAGCCCACGCCTAGCAAGCTATGGCAAGCTACAGTCCGGTCCAAGCCCGCCGGCCCGCAGGCCCGCAGGCTGCAAGCCGGGACATGCCACCAGCTGTGTCGTTGTGCACTTCCCCTTGATTACAGAAGTGAAGTTGGAAACCACGAGGAAACTCTGGGACTTGTGCATTGGGTGATTAATTTCCTTTGGTGGCCTAAAACCGCACACCTGTTGGAGCACAGCGTAAACAAGCAGAGATGGAGCTGCTTTAAGCTGCACCTCTCTGCCACATACGGAAGAACAGAAGAGAGAATGCGACAAACCTGAGGGAAGAACAGAACACAGGAAAATGTTTGGGATTGTTTGGGGTGGGCCAATGATTATGCAAGTAGTGCACTATGTGTAGTTCAAAATTCAAAACATCGGGAAACCATATCCTTGGAGCAACTTCGTGGCACTTATATCAAACACAAAAAGTGCCTGCTCCAACCGGATCAGGGTCAATCAGTTTCGTTGGGTAGCCTTGATTGTTTATATGGTGTGTCCGATTCTCTGCACTGCTTCATACAAGGGCACAAATGCCACATGTAGTCACATGTGGATGAAATTATACAATGACTAGACTACAACTGCAATTCTGAACTCGGCCCGCTCGCAGCACCCACCCATTGAACCGACTCGGCGGCGGCAGCAGCAGCAGCAGCAGGAGCAGAGCATGCCAGTCATGGCAACAAATGTTTGAACATCGTCCAAAGACCAAACGGGAACCTGCGGCACCCACCGAAAACACTGCAGCTGCAGCCCCAATGGCACAAACGGGCGGGAAGTGCCCGGGAAAAATATCATATCTATCGCTATCTCGACCAAAGCTAACCTGGACACCTAGCTTCGGCAAAGTCGACCTGGCTGGCCGCACCGCGCACCGTGCCTTAATAGCGACCCACTGCTCTTCTGGTGTTGAAGTGTCCTGTTGCTGGAAAACATGCAAAATGAAACAACATTCCAGCTACTGCGCTGCTTGTTTGTGTCCTGGGCAAGGTTGAAGCGAAATGCGACTGCAAAATGTTTGTTGGTGTCAAGAAGTCTATCACATTCGTTGTCTGAAAGATTTTTGTACAAACATGTACAAACTATAGTAATTTGTAGCTACGTATTTATCTTTGCTGAGATAATCCTAGATGCTTAGTCAGTGTTCGGCAGTCCTCCAAAGCCAGATAGATAGTCAAGGGTCGAAGATGGACAAGCCTCAAATTCCGAGGACAAAATACATCTAACGAGACGTCTAGGCCTTTGACTTAGGTGCTTGTCTGGTGTCCAAACTGAGAAATGCGTCTTACAAGAAAATGACAAGTGTAGTGACTATCCAAATGCTGTTGTGAAAGACTGGCGACAAGGTGACACTAAGTGGTCCTTGGCCCATCCTGTTTCCTCTCCAGCCTAACAATCTGCGCAATGGCACATGTCCGGGTCACCAGACAAATCTTTGGGCTGTGCAGCTGCAAAGGCTTCAAGTGTGCTCAACAGTGAGCGCCGCAAAAGCCATTGCTCCTCCGCCACAGATGCCAAGCTTCGTGAAATTGCATGAATTTGCTACTATAAAATTGCATTGTTGCACGGGACATGGGAATGAAAGCCAAACTCGGTTGCCATTGGATGATCAGTTTAAATCAGCCTGAACCAAGCTGAACCAAGCTGTGATATTGAGGGCAAAAAACAGCATGCTGCACTGGTGAAGGCCTTGACCCAACTGAAAATCAAAGATCTAAAGGCCCTACAGCAAAGCTTCCTAAACCTCAGAGACATTGCAGCCCGTTACCTCACACCACACTACTTTAAATTACACTACAATGCCTCACATTACATTACACTTCACTACTCCAGACTACAGTACATTCCGCTCCACTACACAAATGACAGTGAGTGGATGACATAACGATGCATCACAGTGCAGAGAATTGCAGTGCATTCTATGCTCTTTACTACACCACACTGCGCTGCCTGAATTGCACCACACTGCAGTACTGTATGTTGCATTCCCGGGTTCCCAGGGTTGGAAGGGTTGAAGCCTAAGCATTCGACTCAGCCCCACCTCAGGGCTCTCCAAGGGGACTGGCTCTTGCTTCATGCCCTGTGAATTCTGATCGGCCCCAGCGCAAAATCCCGGTGCTTTCAGCAGTTACTCGTAGGGTGCCAAATTTTGACACTCATGTTTACTGTTTAATAATGTTTAATGGTCTCAAGGATAAAATACATTGTCATTCAATCATGTGACCTGACTTGACATGCCTGAAACCACTCTCATTCTCTGTGAAATCCTGACGACTCTTGCGAACATGCTCCCATGTGCTATATTGGTTCAAGCAAGTGCTCCCCCGTACTTTTCCTGCAAGGCACTGCCCACAAAATACCACAAAATACCACAAAATACCACAAAATGCCACAAAATGCCACAAGGCATTGGCATGTGCTCCCTGTGCCATGCTCACCTTTCTCTTCTTGGGTGGCTGCGCTGCCGGCTTTCCTTCCTGACACCTTGGAGGAAGCCAAGCCGTCAAGTGCTACTCGAGTGCTACTGGTATGCTGACAACCTTGGCTCTCCCCTAACGCCTCGGCTAGTTCTTCCCTAGTAAGGCTAAAGTGAAAGGCTAAAGTGTGGCTATGGTAAGGCTCAAATCTTTCTGCATCCTTCGCGATTTGAATGATTCGGGTGATGCAGAATCGAATGAGCTCGATTTTGGAGATGCTGCTGACCACAGAGTGGACGGCATTGCCTATGTTCCGGTTGAACTGCCCACTTCACGTGCCAAAGTGCTGCCATTGTTACACTCTTGTCGAATTGTCCCTGCTTAGATTGATTGCACTCGCTTCTTCGCACTCAGTTTTTTTAAGTCAGACAAAGTGTTTTAAGCACCTGGTTCGAGATATACAGGATGCCAACTGTCATTGTTCAGTGCCGTACAAGATACTATGTCAAGGTGGAAAAACAACAACACTTATATATGTACATATGTAATACACACAAATATGATAAAATATGCATTTTTGGCAAGTGCAGGCCCAATCGGCTGAGCGCAGAATCCTGAAGACATGCCAAGGGTGAACACTATCTTTACCTTGCAGCACATTTTTAAGGGCCTAAAGTGGAGGAGACATGATTGAAATTTGAAATCCAATTACGATGGAACATATTGGCAGGGCAGGGAGAAAACCCTCTGTTTTTCGGTCACGATTTTCGGTGATGAATCATGAAAAGACTCCCATTCTCTGGAGAGCTAGTTCTTTGACTAGTTGTCTATGCGCATGTATGTATATATCTATGTATGCATGCATGCATGTATTGTACTGCAATATAATGATGTTACGTAGTGTAATGCAACGCAATGCAACGCAATGCAACGCAATGCAACGCAATGCAACGCAATGCAACGCAATGCAACGCAATGCAACGCAATGCAACGCAATGCAACACACCGCAACGCAAAGCAATGCAGTGCAGTGCAACACAGCGCAATGTAATACAATATCCGCCGACCCCTGCCGACAGCAGGGGGAGCGCGTCAGAGAAGAGGGGACAAGAGGGGCAAGGCAAGAGGTTAGCTGCAAGAACAAGCAGGGCAAGAGGCAAGCGACAAGAAGAAAGCAGCGAGGAAAAAGAAAGCAAGAGGTAAGAGCATAGAAGACGAGCAAGAAGGGCAAGAGGCAAGAGGCCAGCTGCAACTACAAGCGAGAACCAGCGAGGAAGAGGCTCGAAAGCAAGAGGCAAGAGCAAGACAGCTAGCTTCTTGTCGGTGCAGAAAGCAACATTAGTCAGAGGTAGCCGGGCCGAAGGCCTGGTCCATCCTTCAGTAGAATGATGTTTCGCTGTGGCGAGGCCAAGGTTTTGGAGGCTTGAAGGCTGCCATTTGGAGCTAGTTTCTTGTCGGTTCAGAAAGCGATGTTAGGCAGTGGCAGCCCCATCCGCCTGGGCCACCTCGTCCTCCAGGGGCATGGGGATTTGGCGTTTCGAGGCTTGCTTTCTTCGTCATGTATGAGAAAACAACGTTAGGCAGTGGCAGCCCCCCTTTCTTCGGCGCGTGATGCTTTTTGGAGCTAGTTTTTCTTGTCGGTTCAGAAAGCGACGTTAGGCAGTGGCAGCCCCATCCGCCTGGGCCACCTCGTCCTCCGGGGCATGGGGATTTGGCGTTTCGAGGCTTGCTGTCTTCGTCATGTATCAGAAAACAACGTTTGGCAGTGGCAGCCCCCCTTTCTTCGGCGTGTGATGCTTTTTGGGGCTAGTTTCTTGTTGGTTCAGAAAGCGACGTTACTGCACCAAAGCCTCCTAGACCCTCACCGGAACCTTCTCCGAACCTGACCTGGCTCTGCACCAAAGCCTCCCAGACCTTCTCCGGATTCCTGTTGAACCTGACCTGGCTCTCCACCAAGCCCTCCCCGACCTTCTCCAGAACCTTTTCTGGAACATTCTCCGGAACCCTGTTGAACCTGACTTGGCTTTGCACCAGGGCTTCCTGGAACCGTCTCTGGAACCTTCTCCGGAACCTCGTTGAACCTGACCCGGCGCCTGCGCCAGTGCACACCGGAGCGATTCTGGGCTGAAGACCCCATTAGCTTACGCTGTTGGGGAAAAAACATCGTAAATACCCGTGGCGTTGGGCTTCCGAAGCGCGAACAACATCGGTATTACAGTGTTGTTTGCTTCGAGACTGTCAAAAAATGCAAAAACACCATCTGTTTGACGATTTTTAGGGTCCACACAAATGCGAAAATAAGTTGTGTTGAACACAACCACAACCACGACAACAACGACGACGACGACTTGTTTCTGCCGTGCCTGCACCGGTGCAACTCGCGCACTCACGTTGCTTGCCTTCAGCTGGATGGTCTTGCCAGAAAGGCTGCTGGTGGGTTGTGTCACCACACCGTGCCCCCCCTGCAGTGCCTGGAAGCTATCAGACAAACAAAACAAAATCCAGAAGGGTGGGTGGCCAGTGCGGGTCTGAATTTTGATCCAGCTGGCTTCGACTGACAGGCACAGTGCAGCCTCTACACCCATGTCCCTACACACCAAGGTGCTACACGACATGTTTCTGCCGTGCCTGCGCTGGTGCAACTCGCGCGCTCACTTTGTTTGCCTCCAGCTGAATTATCTCGCGGTGCCAGAAAAGGCTCCTGATGAGTTGTGTCACCATTTCACCACACCGTGCACAACCCCCATACCGCATGGTGTCCTCTAGAAGGTAGTAAGTTGTGACAACAAGTCGGTAATGGAGCCGCTGGGATCCTGTGAGAAAGATTCCAGGGTCTCCAGCAGACCGTTGGTGTCGATCTTCATCTCGGACCAACCAGCTTTGGCAGCTTCAGTAGTGTCGTGGCGGCTAATCGGGTCACTGATATTGAGCTCCGATTTCACATATTCGAAGTGTGGGTACCAACCTTCGTGGGCCACGAGTGTCCAGAATGCTGTGATGATTGCGTTCACCATCGGGTCGCTTCCGTACCCTTTTTGAAGGGCCGATTTCCAGCCTGATTGTCCACAAACAGGATGAAGTACTTGGGCAGCTCGTGTCTAACGTAGACTGCCATCACCGCTGCCAGTATCTCCATCATGTAGATAAAGGCTCGCCGGGTGACAAATCGGCGAAGAAAGCCGTCAGGAAGCACTCCGTGTGCGTACACTGTCTTGTGCTGCATTCTCACTACAAATCCCCAGCCGTTGTTCGTGGGCTTCCTCTTCTGTGGGCTCCACAGCTCGGGGGCTCCATGAGCCTTCATGTTGCGGTCGCCAATCTGGAAGAAGGCATCTGACTAGATCACTGCCTCGGTCGCAGTGGCGCATGTTGTCCATGGAAAGGTTCTGGGGCGACAGCCTGACAAGAGTTGGAGCAGGGTGTTGATCGCTGCCCTCAGGACGAAGGTCAGCTTGTTGTTCTTCTGTTCACCCAAGCAGTGTGCTCTGGAGTGGAAGGGTTGGATTGCCGCCATCCCCGTACCACCAAACAGTGTCGTTGACATAAATCCCAATTTGCCGGCCACCTGTAGTTGTGCTTCATCTGGGGTCAGGTGGTTGGATTCAAGGATCTTGTTCAGGGTCGTAACCAGCCGATCCCGCCGCTTGGGGCAAATCTCGACTGTCAGTGCCTCCTGCTGGACACTCATAATGACCCCCAAGACCTTCTGCTTGAGAGCTGGTGGCTGCTCCTTCTCTGGTTTCATGGCCAGCCCCAAACACAGGAAGAAGTCACGGAAGGAGTCACATGAGCTTCGGCAAGTCGCTGCCAACTCAGTGCCTGTCCAGTCATCTACAAAGTGTCCGGTGAGAGTCAGCAGGAGCCGACGAGCTAAGGCCGTGAGGCTGTCACCAAAACGGCAGAAGGCCCAGACCGACGCCACTGCTCCGAATGGCGCCGCCCGGTGACGCCACAAGGAAGGGCCCTCAGGCACCATCAGAATGGTGTATGTGTCATCTCCGGGCTTGACTGGGAGTTGGCGATAAGCGCCTGCCAAGTCCTGCCCCCATATCATCGCCTTACCCTGGCTCAGGGATTGGAGGTGCCGAATTGCAGTCGCGTACCCCTCAACATCGTTGTAATGAGGGCAGTCGTCTGCCTCGATGGTGGAGTTGTGCGAGCTCCTTCTGCCCAGGCGCACCTGGTGGGTGCGGGTTGTAAGTCCATGCCCTCAACCTCCTGGAGTGTCACTTTCCAGTCCGCAGGCGCTTGTAAAGGGGCTTCCACTCGGCCTTTGGCCTTCTCCTCCACCAATTCCTCCCACATCGCCTTCCAGTGAGGGCTGGGTGTAGCAGAATCCAGCTTCGTCTGTACGTACTTCCTGTTGAATTCCTGGATAGACTGAGCCTCGATGGCCAGTCCATGAGGTGTCACCTCTTGCGGGCTGTTCAGGTAGTTCATGTCGGGCATGCAGAACGCCCCCAACGCCATCACGGCAAGCCTGTCCACCACGTTGATGAAGAGGCACAAGTTGGGTGCCAACTGCCCTATCGGGGTTCCTTCCCAGGTGGACCACTTCATCAGAGCCGTCGCCATGGTCACCAGGGCGTACATGATCGCAGGCGAATCTGCATGACTCGGCATGACGGCGTCTCGGGCTCCCTGCGCGTCAATCGCGAGCCGGATCAACCATCTGCCGGTCATGCTCATTGCTCCGCGCCACCGCCCCGGGACTGACAGGCACAGTACAGCCTCTACACCCATGTCCCTACACACCAAGGTGCTACACCACCACAACAACAACAACACCAACAACACCAACAACACCAACACCACAACACCAACAACACCAACAACACCAACAACACCAACAACACCAACAACACCAACAACACCAACAACACCAACAACACCAACAACACCAACAACCACACAACAACACCAACAACACCAACAACACCAACAACACCACAACACCAACAACAACAACCACCAAACCACAACCACCAACCAAACCAAACAAACCAACCAAACCAAACAAACAAACCAACCAACAACAAACAAACAAACACCCAACAACCAACAACCAACAACCAACAACCACACAACCAACAACCAACAACCAACAACCAACAACCAACAACCAACAACAAACAACAAACAACAAACAACAAACAACAAACAACAAACAACAAACAACAAACAACAAACAACAACAAACAACCAACAACAACAAACACCAACAACAACAAACCAACAAACAAACAAACAAACGAACAAACAAACAAACAAACAAACGAACGAACGAACGAACAAACAAACAAACAAACAACAACAAACAAACAAACTGAGAAGCGTCAAGTTCACTGTCAAGTCCACCAAACAGTGCAGTATCAATCAGCTTCTAGTTTTCACTCACGCCAGTCTATCAGAAGCAGTACAACGTCTCACAGCGTCAGTTGAGTTCCTAGTGCCTTGAGCCAGGCTTGAGCCAAACCATAGTTTGGCAGTGCAGTAGATTCAGTGTACTGTGCAGTGGAGTGCAGAGTGACAGTCATATCTAACACCCCCCTTTGGATCAGCAGTCCAGTTGAGTGACTGAGGATCCACACTTATTACAGTACGTGCAAGTTAGACGATCCAAGTCTTGAGAAGTATAGACTTCAATACACTTGTGAAAGTCTAAAGTGCTAGTTCCAAGTCTCATGCAGAGACAGTCAAAGTCAACCTAGTCTTCAGCATTCTCAGCTGGGTGCTTACTCCTATTGCTAACAATCTGAATTCAAAGTCTCTCAGTGTCATCTCAGTCGGCCTTCTTCACAGTGATCACGGTGTCAGTGGATGACAGTGCAAGTCCGCTGATCTGGATGTCAACCTTGAGATCAGTGCCAGTCTCAGTGATTGGCAAGGCCGCAATTCCAGAGCCATAGTTGTAGTCCCAAGTGAACTTCTTCAGTTCAGCTGGAGTGCTGGCAAGTCCAGCCTTTTCCATTTGGAACTGAGTCAGTGGCAAGTGCCCAAAGAGAAAACGACGATGAGCATTGCAGTAGCGAGTGCCATTCAGTTCCTTGGAGAGTGAGTCAGCAAAGTCCGCCAGTGTGTAGGCAGTCTGGAAGGTCTGACTTGATTCAGTCTCTAAGTTCGTCAATTCGAAGTTCACAGCACCAGTTGCATTCACATAGGAGTGGCTGAAGTATCCTCGGTTGAATTGCTTCAGTCCAGCAAGCTTAGCGCGTTCGAGCCACACAGCAGTGACCCTCAGTGGCTCAGTGGAGTACTTCTGAAAGTTCTCCTGACCTTTCCACAGCTGCAGTGCTGAGTACAGCAAAGCGCTTCGAAGATCAGTCCACAAGTTGCACAGTGAACGATCAAACCACTCAGTTGGGATTTCCCCAGTTGCCAGTGCCAAGTCTGACAGTGTGAGTGGAAGTGACAGGAAGACAGGGTAGTCCACCTGCCTGTCAGTCAGGTGAGTGTACTCAGTAGTCACCCGTTGCAGTGGTTGCGAGTACAGTCGCAGTTCTGTTTATGAGTAGGTGAAGTGGGCAGTACTCAGACCCGGGAACACCGAGTTGGGTGAGAGTACGCCAATCCACACATCATCAGTGGATTCATAGCCAGTCTTCTGAGCGACCAACAGTCCAAGTCCAAGGAGTTGCACTTGGTAGTCGCAGTGAGCCGAGTAGTACGGCACAGATACAGTGTGTCCACTGTAGTGCATGACAGCTCAGTATGGTTGAGCGAGCAATTTGAGAGTGCACTTCTTCTCCAATGCTGAGTTGCGATCCAGCATTTGGCGAGTCACACTTTCCAACAGTTCCAGCTGAGTGACACTAAGTGCCAGTTCCCGACTCTTCAGCATCTCAATCACAGTATTGTAGGCTTCAGTGTCAGGAGTAGCAGTCGGTGCTACCTCAGTATTCTGAGTCTCTCCAGTCTGTGCGACAGCCACGGCGGCAGTCTCAGTTGCCATCCTCAGTGTCAGAGAGGAGGTAGTGCAGCACTACAGTGACGTAGTACCTGGTAGTACTCCTTTTCAGTCTCTACCAGTCACTGCGGTCAAACAGCGAGTGAGTTTGAACCACGCAAAACCGAGTTGCAGAGTCGAATTCAGTTCCTGTGCTCGAGTACCGTACAGTACTCAGTTCAAACAGTCATGCAAATTTGATTTCTTGAAATTCAGTAAAAGTAAAACTCAACGAACTCTTGGCCAAATTCAGTACAGAAAGCGAAGTGAGAGTGATGAGTTGCAGCTACAGTTCAGCGACAGTTCAGCAGCAGTCTCCCCTTTGAAAACTTAGTCTACCAAAGTGAGTTTCCGCAGTGTCTTGGTGAAACAGTGCCTGTATAGTTTGAGGTTACAAGTCAAAACGAAAAACAGTTTCAACACATAACCTACCTAAGTGTGATTTCAAAGTCTCAATGTCCAGGTGTTTAGTAAAGGGGTCGGCGCAGTTTTCAGTAGTATGAACCTTGCGTATTTGGAGGTCTCCCCGCGCAACCAAGTCTTGCATGTACAAAAATCTCAGTTCAACGTGCTTGGTTTTCTTTCCAGAACCAAACCTAGTTGCCATGCTCTTTCCTGCTGTGCTGTCAGTGTAAATGTGAAGTTTGACTTTCTTTGCCAGTTCCGCATCGAGAATCAAGTTTCTTACGTACAGTGTTTCGGAAATTCCTTGTCCTATCGCGTACAGCTCGGCTTCTCCTGAGGAGAGCGCGATAGTACCCTGAGTTCTTGCACAAAAATCTACAGGGCAGTTGAGGAGTTTAACAACAACGCCTGAAGTTGATTTTCGAGTTCGCTGACAACCAGCCCAGTCACTGTCCACAAAACAGTCCAAATCAAGAGTGCATTTGTTGCTACTAAGAGTGATCCCCGCACGAAGTCGATGCACATAGTCCTTAGTTCCAGCGAGGTACCTCAGTAAATGTTTCAGTTTCAGTAAACTTCGGTTTGTCGGTGCAGTCAGGTCTCTTGAAAGTTCCTTAGTCGCATAGGCCATGTCTGGTCTAATCAAAGCTAGCCACAACAGTTTTCCAACAGCAGTGCGATAGACTTTGTGTTCATCAGTGCTTAGTGGATTATCCAAGTCCAGTCGATGTGAAAAACTAGTGGTACCCGTAGTTCCTACTGTTTTAGCCTTGACTATGTTGTACAAGTCCAGCGTCTTAGTGATGTAGTCTTGCGGCATGCAAATGTCTACGCTGTCGCCATTATGTCGCAAAACGCGTCCAAGAAAATTTACTGATTTACCAGGCTTCAGTTCAGCTTCAATTTTGAGTAAAACTTCCTTTTCCAAGTCTTTGGTGAATTGCACGGCAAGTTCGTGCTTTCCACAAACCAAAAGATCATCTACGTAGCAAAGGACATACAAGTCGCCAGAAGAATGACAGTACAAGTTCGGATCAGCTTTGCAGCGTCTCATTCCGAGTTTCAGCATCGTTGAGCAAAAGTGTTGTTGCCACAGTGCTGGCGCTTGTTTCAAACCATACATTGCTCGTTTCAGTCTCCAGAGGCAGCTCTGTTCAGGATAGTACTCTTTTGGTGGAATCAGCACTACACGGTCCATCATGAGTGCATGAAGAAACGCAGTGCTTATGTCACAAGTAAAACATGACCATGTTCTAGACAACATCATAACAAGCAGTACTCTGAGTGTCACCAGTGTAGGTGTACTTGCAAACAGAGTGTCTTGATCCATGTTTTCTTGAAAGCATCCGCGAGCAGTGAGTCTGCATCTGACAGTGTTTGCAGTTTTCCAGCGTTTCACCCATTTACAGTCTAGTGCTGAGTCAATGTCTTCTTGCGAACACTGTTCTATTGGAACTTCTTCATACACATCAAATTCTTTCATGCTTTTCATTTCCTTTTGCATTCCTTCGATGACAAGTTCATCAGGAAATTCTGGTTCAGTTCTCAACAGTTGAGGTTCATTCAGTTTGATTTCCGTCTGTTTCTCTTCAGTGTCTTCGTTTACTGCGACGGGAACTTCAGTTCCGTCTTTCAAAGTGACAGAGAAAACTCCGATTGCAGCAATAGTGAGTCGTTTGTCATCCGGAAGCAAGTCTTCAGGAAGTTCTTGATTTTCAGCAGTTCGTTTTTCGTTTCTAACTCTCGTTTCCGGTGGAAGTCTCGTTTCAGTTTCAGTCGTCTCAAGCGTTTCAAGTCTCAAGTCGTCTTGCGTTTCAGTGACAGTTTCATGAGTCTCTTTCGTTGGTAAATCCTCAGTATCCGTTTGAGTTTCACGTTCGAGTCCTGGTGGTTCACGGACTCTTCCAGTGGGAGTCAAAGTTGGAGGCAAAACAAATGAAGTGTCAATCACCTGTTTTGCTTTTGGATCCCAAGGAGTCGCCTGAAGTTTCAGAAACAGTTTCTGATCCCATTGTTTGGATGGAACCTGTCGCTTGATAGTTCTCACCTTAGTGATGCCAGTTCCAGTGGACACAATGTGCTCATCAGCCTCAGTGTCACGTCCTAACCAAATGCCACTGCCAGTGCTCCATGCAGTGTCTCCTTTGTCTTTCAGTTTTCCAGGGTAGCGAAACAAAACAGTTTCTCCGAACTCACACACAGTCGAGCTATAGTTCTTTCCCCAACGTCGAAAGTATGAGGTGTTTCCATCAGAGTGAGTGAGAAAGCGATTCCAAGTAAACTGAGCGTGTTTCACGATCCATGGATAAACAGCATGTTGCACGGAAATTTGCACTTT